CTGGCGAGGGTGTGGAGAAAGAGGAACACTCCTCCATTGTTGGTGGGACTGCAAGATGGTGCAACCACTTTGGAAATCAGTGTGGCGGTTCCTCAGAAAATTGGACATAGCATTACCCGAGGATCCAGCTATACCACTCCTAGGCATATACCCAGAAGATGCTCGAACATATAACAAGGACATATGCTCAACTATGTTCATAGCAGCCTTATTTATAATAGCCAGGAGCTGGAAAGAACCCAGATGTCCTTCAACTGAGGAATGGATTCAAAAAATGTGGTATATTTACACAATGGAGTATTACTCAGCTATTAAAAACAATGAATTCGAGAGGTTCCTAGGTAAATGGATGGAACTAGAAATTATCATCCTGAGTGAGGTAAGCCAATCACAAAAGAAGACACATGGTATTCACTCACTGATTATTGGATATTAGCCTAGAACCTTGAAATGCCCAAGATGCAACTCACAGGCCACATGAAGCCCATAAAGAAGGAAGACCAAGTGAGGGTGATTCGGTCCTTCTTAGAAGGAGCAACAAAATACTCAAGGGAGCAAATATGGAGACAAAGTGAGGGACAGAAACTGAAGGAGGGGCCGTCTCAAGACCACCCCACCTGAGTATCTATCCCATGTGCAATCACCAAAGGTAGATGCTGATGTGGAAGACAGGAAGTGCATGCTGATAAGAGCCTGATATGGATATCTCCTCAGAGGCCTTCAAGAGTCAGACATATTCAGAGGCAGATGCTCACAACTAGCCATTGAACTGATCATGGGGTTCTCAATAGAGGAGTTAGAGTGAAGACTGAAGGAGCTGAAAGGGTTTGTGGCACCATGAGGAGAGCAACAATACCAACCAACCACAGCTCTCAGGGTCTAAACCACCAGCCTGGGAGCACTTAGGGGGGGATCCCGGGCTTCAGCTGAATATGTAAAAGTGGAGGGCCCTGCTGGGCATAGGTGGAAGAAGAGAACCTTGACCTCATGAAGGCTGGATGCCCCAGGGGGTGGGAATTTTGAGGGTGGGGAGGTGGGAGTGGGGGGGTGTAGATAGAGGTTACATCCACAGAGAAGAAGGAGGAGGGGCGAGGGGATTGGGGGTTCCGAGGGGGTGGTGGGGGATGGGGTAAGGGGACAACATAGGAAATGTAAATAAATCATCCAATAAAAAAAAAAAAGAAAAAAAAAAAAAAGAAATCCCACGATGAAAATACTGATTTTATAGAATGCTTCTATAAAAGCTCATATAACCCATCGAGTCTACTGAATAACACATACGTTGACTTAGAATAGTCTTACGGACTTTCCATACATTTTCCCCCATTACAAGTACCTCAGCCTTCCTGCTTCCATTATTATCTTCAGTTTCGTTTATCACATGCTAAGAAGAATTTTCATCCTTGGCAACTTTAATTTGGGGGAAAAAAAGCCTAAATAGTAAGCACTGTGAACCATTCTCTATCAGCAATTCTGAGGTAAATTTTAGGAGTATGTTTTCACATAAAACAACTTTTGTTTTATTATTATTACTTGAAAACTTCATACACCAAGGAAATACATTTTGATTGTATCCATCTCTCACATCCCCTGAGTCCAACTCTTTTCAGGGCTCCTCAGTATCTCCTCTCTCAAATTTACATCTTCTTCTGTTGCTTTTTAACACATAACCTACTGAGTCCAATTAGTATTGCCCACATGTACATGGGTATAGGGCTGACCACTAGAGCATGAGCCATCCAACAATGGCCATGTCCCTGAAGAACACTGACCCTCCCTACTGCAGCTGCCAACAGCCCGTAGCTCCTCAACCAGGTTTAGGGTCTTGTAAGCCATTCCCTCATCCCTCTGGAATGTTGACTGGTTTTATCTTGTGCAAATCTTGTACAGGCAACCGTAGCCCTTGAGAGTCCTGGGTACAGCATCCTGGTCAGACCCAGAAGATACTGTTTCCAGCAGAGTTCCTGGTCCTATGATAGTCGTTCAATTCCTTCTTTTAAAATAGCAAAGTCAAGCTAAAACTCCATCAGCCAGCCTTGTTCAATGCTCTTGAGAAGACAGACATGGATACCTAGTGGGTATTCTACACTCCCCAGTTGCTCTGGGTCATGGACCCTCACATGGTATCTAGGATAGATAAAGATGAAAAGGTTTGTCCTTCTCCTCTTCTCTTTCAGAACACAGGGCCCTTTCTCTCTCCCTCCTCTACTCCCTCCCCCCTTTTCCCCCATGACAATTTCCCTGGTGTTGGTACTTGGGGTCAGTGAACTTTGACTTATACACAAGGTGACAAATCCATGACTAGGGACAAGAAGTGGTGGTGACATCTGAAAGATCTAACCCAATAGTTTCCAGCAAGGGCAGCAAGGAGGCGATTCTAGGCAGAAAAAATAGAAGCAGCCACACCCAGCCTGGTTCACTTGGTAGCTGGCAACCCAGGTACTACAGAAACATCCGTATCCCAAGACCTCACGCTGACCACCTGCCCAGATCCCAGAGCCTCCCAAGCAAATATACAAACTTGTATAAGATTCATCTAAGAACTGAGGAAGCCCTGTGGCAGGACTTACTTTTGTAGGTCTCAGCTCATTAACAGATCAAGGAAGTATCAAAAGCACCATAAATGGAGCCAGCCATGTTTGCGCATGGCTGTAATGTCTGGATTTGGGATGCAGGCAGAGGATCCGTAGTTCAAAGCCAGCATTATCAGATAGTAGGTTTCATGCCAGACTGGACAACAGGAGATCTAACAATGATCCAATACAAACATCACAGAGGTAAAGAGACTGCACTCCACCAGTCAAACACAAATCCCTACCCCTCTTTTCACTCTCATAGATTGTTTATATGAAAGAATTTATTCCTGTATATTTTTCTCCATGGCTACACTCTCATCTTTGTGGCCTAATATCTAAAGGGTATACTACAGTTTGTTTAACTAGTCAATCTAACTTAAAAATCTGCAATTAGGGGCTGGAGAGATGGGTCAATGGTTAAGATCTTCTTCCCAAGGACCAGAGTTCGATTCCCAGGACCCAAGCAGCAGCTCAAAACTGTAACTTTAGTTTCAGGGAATACGATACCCTCACACACACACACATATAATCAAGAAGTACACCAATGCACATAAAATAAAAATAAGTCATTAAAGATGTTATTTATAAAAAGTCTGTAATTAATAACTATATTTGAATACTTTTTTTCTTTTAGTCAGTTAAACAGCTGGGGAGGGGGATGATGAAAATATCCTCCATGGGCTCAGGTATTTGAATGTGGTCACCAGTTGGTGACACTGTTTGGGAAGTGGTACAGCACTTGTCAGTGGAAGTATGTTACGTAGGGTGGGCTTTAGAGTTCACAGCCTCAGCCTACTGCCAGTGCACTCTCTTTGTTTTCTGTCTGCTGTTTAAGATACCAGCTCTCAGCTTCCTACTCCTGCAGCCATGGTCCCCTGCCACCATGGAGCCTTATCCCTTGGGAACCCTAAGCTGAAACAAACTCTTCCATGCCTAAGTTGCTTTGGTCATAGTGTTTTATCACAGCAAGAGAAAAGTAAGCAATGTAATAAGCTCTTCAAATATTTTAGTAGACTCACACCTATACATTCACATGTTAGTGTACATAACCCAGAAATGCAGACAGATGTAGACCTGATAGCTCCCATTACCATCCCCAACTTGCCGTGTTTTAAGAAGTCTGTCATATTCCTCCACGGGCAAGAAAACCAGAGGCTAGAACACCAAGTCCCTGAAAATTCAGGAGAGCCAAGATCTGCATTTCCCCTCAGGAAGTACACTTATTGCCAGTGTCTTTCTCAACCAGTCAGACAGCCGAGGCCTCTAATTGGATCCAATCCAATTACTTATGGGATTCAATGCAGTTTTGGAGCTACTCCAGCCTTCACAGGGGCATCCAATGCTCGCCAGTCTCTTCCCAGTGCAAAGGAGCGCCAGACTCAAAAGCCAAAAGACAAAAGCCAGAAAGATTTGATGTTTAATACAAAGCACCAATGCTAAGAGGAAACCAATCCCTTAAGACAGAGGGACCTCAAGGGGGCTAAAAGAGCTTCTCCTGCATCCCTCAAGGTCTCTTGAGAGTTATCAGCACTTCCTTTCTGGCTCCTCATCTGCTCTAACATCTGTGAAACTGCCAGGAGATTACAACAAACCTGATTTTGGAGCTCTTGGTTTGACTTGCAATACTACAAGCAGCTAGAAGTCTGGATTGAAAACTGTACAGGACACTGTACTCCACCACCCCACAGCTCATACCTGTCTTATCTGGCCACTTAAAGTTTGGCTTAGACTCAGCAAAACATTCTAAGGGTGAGTTATGATATAGATTACAGTTCTCTGGTTCATCGTGAGTGAAGAAACCCTCAGACCCATCTTAAAACACTCTGAAGGCAGCTTTAGGCAAACCTAAAATGTCTTCTTTTGGTGGCCACCATCTTGAGAATGGTGTAGTGGATCTAAGCAAGGCACTAACAGATGAGAGAAAGGCAAGGAGCAGAATGCATCAGATGTCTCTGTGCTTCAATGCCAGGTCTCCTCAGCCCAGCCCAGTTCATGGATTTCAGCAAATCCAGACAAGCTCAAGCCCATCTGTTCACTACACTGACCATGCAAAGCTGTAGAGCCTACATGAAACATGAAAGATGAACTCTTATTGGATTCTGGTGGCTAAACGATGACGCCATTGTTAGGAGAACCGTATGATCCCATGGACTTGCTGGGCTTTCTCTCCAGTACTTAATGGCAAATATTCCACTGTCCTAAGACTCAAAAAAACCAGACTATGTGCAGCTATTTACCTGGCACAAAACCAGATGTGCATTTATTTGATTCATTAATTTATTTATTCATCTCTCATACAATACATTCCAACCCCAGTTTCCCCTCTCCCCCCACTCCCCTCCCCACCTACCCTCTCCCCTAGATCCACTGCTCCTCTGTGTCATTTTGGAAAAGAGCAGGTCTCCCAGGGATATCACAAAGACATGGCATATCAAGACTGCATTTTTACAGGAGTAAAAATATTATCTCTGTCAAACTATAAGTAAAGATACTTTGAGTCAAAAGAGTGTTTCCCCCTTAACTAAAATACAAATCGATACCTCGGTCAACGTACACTAATTAACTATCCCCAACAGGAAGATGCTTCCCTTGGTATAACAGAGTGCAGGAATAAATGCAGCAAGGGAACCTGTCCCCACCAGTGTCATAAAACACCGGTTTATCAACATTTCTGAGCACTAGGCATGTTTGCAGGTCTAGCTAAGTATTATATTTTAGAAATACAAAATATCTAGAAATAGTCTAATTTTTCCAAAATCATCTGAACCCTTTCTGTAAACCTTGAATGGGGGTTTCTGTGTTCCTGACAGTGAAATCTGGTGCATGGTCTTCAGATTTGAAACGCATGTGCCATTAGGATGTCTTCAGGTCGAGGTGCTGGGACAATAGTAGCTGGGTGGGTAACTTCACTCCTCTAGAAGGTTCTGAATCTCATGAGTCCCAAGGAAGGTCAAACTCTTTGTTTATATTCAATTCGGCATTTCCCTGCTGGCTGGGGGACACCCACCAAATGTAGAGAGCTCTAAAAGCAGAGACACAGAAGCGATACAGAAACTAAGAGACAAAAGCCAACAATTTTAGACCGAAGGCTTCTGGCATTGTGATTTCTTCTAAAAGGTACAGAGGGGAGGCCAGAAGGTTGGGAAATGTTCGTATGGCTGAGTTTCAGAACATCAAGCATCCACTTGACCATTTGAGAAGCAAAGCAGAGAAAGATACCTTATTCTAATAATCTCTCAGGTCCACATACACTCACTGGGGCTTACAGGCTCGCCCACTCCCTACTCTTCTTTATCCCTACTTTATCAGACTGAAGAGAATGCCATAAATAAGTAAGGCTCTTAACATATCCATGGCTCAAAAGCTATGACACCTCGTAGCTGAATGTACACTTTATGTTCAGACAACATGGCACTGATACAGATATTGGGCCTGAGCCAGCCAAAAGATGGCTGACACCACATACCCAGGGGACGAGATCAGCTAATGATGGCTGACAGCAAATGCCTGGGGAATCCAAAAGGAAAACAAGGATATAATGGTATGATTCTTCCTGATAGAATGCCACTTTTATGCAACTCTACAAACACATGACCTTGGAGATGGAAGTGAGTATCTTTGTCTTCCCTTTCTAGAGCGGTTTGAATACAAAACGTCTTCCCAGTGTCAGTATTGGAACGCTTGATAACCCTGTTTGGAGTTGAGAATCTGGAGCGACCTCACTGGAGGAAGTATGTCACTGGGGGCGGGCTCTAAGATAGAAAAGCCTGGCCTACTTCCGGTTTGCTCTTTCGGCTTCATGCTTGCTCGAGATGTAACTCCCAGATTCTTTTTCCTGCTAACATCCCTGCTGCTTGCTGACACACCCTCAAGCCTTCATGAGTGTTTATCCCTCTTGAACCCTAAGCCCAAAGGAACACTTTCTTTTAGGAGTCACCTCAGCCATGGTAAGTCACCATGGCAACAAAAAAGCAACTAATACAGCTTCCTACCTACAGCCTATGTGATAGTCTGCTTGTGTGTCTGTGCCTAACTGTGTGTGGCCCGTGCATGCCAACCTGTGTGCAGGTAATTACAGTATGTCTTATCTTTATATGATTCCGTACATTCTCTTCAGCCTTCCAGTCTTCTATAAGCCCACCTTTTTCCTGGCTCTGGTGTTTGGACCTCACACACCATTTACATTTAATCACAGGGTGAAAAAAGGCACCTGTAACAGGTGTTAGTATTCTGTCTAGACTCCACCTCCACGGTTACCTGGCAATAGCCAGGTATACTCCTCCCCACAGTTACCTGGCACAGCTGGGTAGGCCTGCCCACCATAAAAGGGGCTGCCTGCCCCCTCCTCTCTCTCTTGCTCCTCTCTTGCCCCCTTACTCCCGCGCCTGCAGGTTGCCCTCTCTCCCCTCCTCCCTTCCCTTCCTCCTCTCTCCACGTGGTCATGGCCGGCCTCTACTCCTCTACTTCTCTGTTCTCTCTCCTCTGGCTTCCCTCTGCCCCGAATAAACTCCCCCTTGTGGAACCCTCTGGTCTGCTGTGGTCTGTTCCAAGCTACGTGTGAAAATCTAACAACAGGTGCTTGAAAACTACCTGGAGTTGGTGGGCAGACAAGCCACACTGTTGTATGACCATCATTTGTGGGTTTTGTTTTTCCTTAAGACAGAGGAATGCCTGAGATTGTGAGGTGTGGGGAGGGGTGTCAATGTACTGCTAAAAGCATAGAAAGGACTTTAAGGTTTAGAAATATAAAAGGTTTCATCAGCCTTGAGCTTTGGGGTCAATGAAGAGTGAGAAAAGAGAAGGGAAATACAATTTAGGTAACTGGCCTTTTAGTTCCAGGTTTGGACACAAACTTGGGGGGGGGCACAGAATTGATTTCTTAACTCTATTCATAGAACGGATTGCATAGTTCCCATGAAGTTGAATCTGTAGTTATACATAAAGACATATGCGCTTCTCTAGAAGGAGAAGCCTAGAATTTTGTTGTCTAAGGATTTGTACCCTAAAAGTGGTACAATGGAACAAAACTGACTGAACCAGTGATAGGCGTGCCTAATATTGAAGTTGAAGTTGTCTCATGGACGGGTGCCACAAAACCAACATCGGGCCACTGGGGCAGCGTGTAGCTTTATGCTTAAAGCCTTGCTCTATCTCCTTGTTATTTAGTTCATGGTGAGAGAGAAATGAAATTATATTGATTTTATACAACGTAATCACCTATATGTGTCTGTTCACATTAGTGCAGGTCTGTCAAGGCCAGAGGGGCCTGGAACTAGAATTAAACTACCGACATAGGTGCCAGGAACTTAGGTCCTTTTCGAGAGTAGCACACACTCTTAACCATGGGGCCATCTCTCCAGCCCCAGTAACTACATTCCTTAATAACTCATTTAGAATATACTTGCCATACTGGCCAAGCCTGATGGTAAATCCCTAGCACCTTACAAATAGGAAAAAAGGAGACAAAAACACTGGACAACTCAATTTTAGAACTGAGGTTTCTAGTCTTGGATTTCTCCTATGATGCAAGTAAATCTCTAAGGACAAAAACAGGGTTACATTCCACGGATCCCCAGTCTTTGACCCTTGTAATCTCTAAACAATGTTCAAAACTTGGAGGCCATTTTCTACAATACAGATTTCTTTATTTTTATTTTTGTGTTTGAGTGTTTTGCCTGTGTGTGTGTGTGTGTGTGTGTGTGTGTGTGTGTGTGTGTGTGTGT